AGCTTGAGCTCAAACCGCTCTTCAATGTCTCATTAATCAGTGTTCCTTACCAGCAGATTGCCTAACCGCTAGAGTAAATCCTGTATTTAAATCAGGTGACAAATTAGACGCCGGAAATTACAGACCTATTACTTTGATAAGCACATGTTGCAAGTTACTTGAGCACATAATCGCTAACCATATATCTGGTTACCTAGAGTCAAGCAATTTTTTTGACAGGAACCAACACGGATTTCGAAGAAACGTTTCCACAACGACCCAGCTAATATCTGTTGTCCACGATTTTGCAGCCGCGATCGACAATCTTCACCAAACCGACGCAATTATTTTAGATCTCTCTAAGGCTTTTGATCGCGTGCCTCACAATCTGCTAATTGGTAGATTGAAAGAAGTAGGACTTGCTATACGCTGGTTCGTTGGATACAGGCCTATCTACAAAACCTCTCTCAATCGTTGAACGTGATGGCTCTAAATCTGATAATCTACAGGTTTTGTCTGGTGTACCACACGGCTCCGTGCTCTAACCGTTACTTTTCTTGATTTATGTTAACATTTCCAAAAATATGTATGAATGTGTTAGTGTAAGATTGTTCACGGATGACTGCGTAATGTATACCCTTGTCAAAAATTCTTTCTGCCAGACTACATCGAATGAAAACCTTTGTAAACTTGCGAACTGGTGCGACCTTCAGAAAATGAAAATTAACTTCTCTAACACAGTCTCAATGACTCTGACTACAAAAAAGCCCCTTTCCTACATTTATCGTATTGGCAATCAGTGCATTCAAGAAGTTTCCTCTCTGAAATACTTAGGCCTAAGAATTAAAAAACAACCTCAAATGGGACCACCACATCAACAACATATGTGCCAAAGCGTTCAGAAAGCTATGCTTTTTTCGAAGAAAACTCAAAGGGTGTTACTGGGCTGTGAAATTTGTAGCTTATCGTTCTCTAGTTCGCCCAGCTCTAGAGTACGCCTCTATTGTGTGGGACCCGTATTTTGTGAAAGACACCGCGGAGGTGGAGCGGACCCAACGTCTTGCTGCAAGATTCATCCTATCAGACTACACTGAGGTTTCTTTACTTACTTTAAAACAATTCATCTGGTCTATAATGTGACACTTATGTTCCCCCTGTGCCACAAAGATCAGCTCGACTAAATCACTCCAAAGTCATATGCCCATACTATGCCAGAAATAACCTTTTTCACAAGTCATTTTTTTTTCTAAAACAATTGAACAATGGAACAGCTAGCCGTCATTGCTTGTGGAATGTACTGATGCCAACCAATTCGAACACCTATTAACTAAACTCCTTTTGCAACCCTCCCCTGCTTGGGCAGCGCCGCTGCCTGCAGTATATGTAAATAACATTAAAAAAATACCCCCAAGACACAACTTATAAAGAGATATCTCCGACGGATGACCATATTTTTGTAGAATGAGGATGCGACTAAGTGAGAATCGCGACGTCGCGTTTTCTACAGAATAGTTCAGGAGTAGGGGGAACGGCCTTCGGGCTTCATTTCATCGTCGCGTCCTCGCGGAGTCAAAGAGAGAAGAGGAGAAAACAGGAATCGGGTCACGTCACGAGCCTTGTTCAAGCGCGCTCTTCTTCACAAAATTACGACCATCCGTTGGAGATACCACTTTATTGGTGATTATTTCGGGTTTGTAGCGTCCCGCCTAGCGCTTCTGCGCTGTTTTCTGAAATCAAAATTCCGCTTCAGAATCCTTTCAAACTCTTTAATGTAAAGTGGAATGTCAACCTCATACGCCCGCCCCCTCCGATCACGACCAAATCGGTGGCATAAATGCCCGACAGTTTACGTCATCACATCTTGTCGCACCACTGATGCGCGAACACATGGTCACATCGGCGATAATTCCAGTATTATTTTCAAGACGCACAACACTGCTATCGCGATGTTGCTGCTATGATGCTTACACACACACATACAGAATCACGTTGACTGCCGGTTGACATTCGGCATCAGAAAACAGAATCGAACTCAGCACAAAGGCACCCTGGCACCCCGCAGCAAAACCTGCCTGTCTAGGATGCAGTTTCCGCGGTTTTCATAGCGTTGTCAACGTCGAAACATCGTTGCGCAAAACAGAGGCGGCCATCTTAGCCCAGTGTAAGTAGCGCTGCTGGCGCTGCTTCGGAACTTCGCGGTTTCTAACGGCTTCATTCGCTCGTTTGATAAAATCAGTGATAAAAACGTTAATGCAACCGAAATGTTCTGCACGTTTGGACTGAAAGACGGAATTACAGGTGGCCTTCACTGTCGCTGAAGCTCAATCAATTCAACCACATTTATGAAAGAAAGCGCGCGACGTGCTCGAAAAACGAAACCGAAGGAAGATGAGGCGAGAGGGCGGAACCTTTCTCCCGTATGCCTGGAGGAGAAAAACGTCTCGTTCCTCCCTTCTTTTCGTGTTCGACTGGGGGCGCGTCAGGAGAAGGGAGGAAGAGGCGCGGTTGCTACCTTTTTCCTCCTTTTTTTTTTTTAGAGGGTAGGGTTTGTTGACTTCTATTTAGCACCGAATTGAATATGTTATGTATAATACAGTAAGGTTTTCTCAAACACGCTCAATTAGTTTACTTTAACAATATCGCTGAAATCTCTGCGTAGCTAGCCGTAGACAACACCAACCGCTAATTGCGGCTTTGACCATATTCACATTGAAGGAAAAGCGATTCCTCTGCTCCGTGAAGCATTGCTTCCAACGGCTCGAATACCCTGTTTACAGAAGTTAATTCAGGACGACCATTCGAGTACCACATGAACAGCGCCATTAAAAACGAAAACAAAAAAAAAACAAATGCTATGATAGAAAACGCGCCTTCTACGACATACTTTGCGCAGAAGCGAACACATGGCTGCTAGAAACCGCAGTGGAGCGCATTTTTTTATCGGCGGTCTCAAATATTTACAACATAAACCTCTATTATTTACTAGAAGATTTATCCCTTGGGCCGTTCAGATGCTTTTTGAGGAATGACACAAGTGAGAAAAATTGACCAAATAAGAAATGAAAAGGTAATTATTTCTTCAATCGTCGAAAAGGCAGAAAAGAAAAAAAATCAGACTGAGCTTGCTGCGATCCGGTAATATCATAGAGTAATATCTAACTTGAAAGGATATGCCAAAAGGTTCAGCGTGAAGACAGTTTTCAGTTCAGATTTTAAGATGAGATGTTTTTCAGATAGATTTAACTGAGTGAAAAATATCACATGGTGGCAAGTCGGTACTCTGAAAAATGCTGTAGGCTACGAAATACCTTCGGATCATGGATTAAAGAACGAATTACAAACTAAGAGGTATATACATTACAGATTAACGGAGCACAAAATACAAGTAAAGACTAACGCGGTTAATTTTGAAATGGCTACAGATATTCGCGAATATAATAATTGTAATACACATTGGTCAGGAACATAAACGGTACAGTAAGAATTGTGCGTCCTTTTTCTCCATTCCTTGGTTTTTCCCTCTACATTCAGCTGGAAACCTTCAGAATCATGTCATACCAACCAGCTGAGCTCCAGGCAGTCAAGAATTAAATAACATCAAGATGGTTGTAAAAGCGCTCTGTCCTGTCCGCTCCTCCTCTTCTCGGTCCTTTGCGCTTTTTAAACCACCATCTAGTTGTAAAAAAGCAGGTTCAAATCAATAGGAAACTACATTAGTCAAATATATTTATACCTTGGGGATAGTTTAAAAAATGCGACGATATTTTTGTCAAGTTTTATGTTTTTGTTTGTAAGAATGAGTTGGTTGTGGTTGTCTCTGTTTATTAAGACAATCTAATAGAACTTGGGGTGGAAAGTGGGTGGTGAACCTTGCAGCTCTGTGTTCAAGGTTTAAAAGCATTCTATTCTAGTATCGTGAACTCTAGAGATACAACAAAAGCAGTTGAGAAGTATTTGTGTAATCTAAAGTTGGCAGTGCCTCGCAGTTTAATATTTTTTTCATATATTTTTGTGCTGGTGTGGATTTTGTACGTGTCCACAAAACAAGATATTTTACCGCGGGTATATGTGCATATGAAGATAGTGATTACATAAAATCTTTAGCTATGTCGGAGACGTAGTCTGTCCCTTTTCCTTCCACTGTACAAGGTTTATTCTCCTTCTGCCCAGTCTTGGGCTAAATACATCATGGTAAGAAACTTCCACCAGCTCGGCCGTGCACCGACTATTTTTGTTAATGTGGTTGCAGTAAAAAAATATTGATTTAGGAGTCAATACATTTTGGAAAGATTGGGAGCGCGTGGAATGTGCGGTGGTGTGAGAGTTACACCTGTGCAGCTCCACAAGGCCGGCGTTGCGAAAATGTGAATGATATCCTTAAGGATCCGCATTTCGCACCCCCAGCTTTGAATCGAGTGGTAAATTTAAGACATCACAACGCTTCCAACGCGCTCCAAACACTTAATAAATTTACTGATTTAGTTGTTTTCCACGACGCTCAGAAAGTTTCGAATTAAAACCATACGTGTATTTCCACTAATAAAGAATTAAGTAAAACGAATCAGTTGTTTTCATCTACTTTAAAAATTACCCCCCCCCCCCTTTATTATGTCCCTTTGGCCGTGTAACTCACCTCCGCAGACAACGCTAGTGTAGCTTTCACACCATAAAACACCTATGACACCTAAAATAAAACACGCTATACACTATAGAGCTATAAGCAACCTAGTCACCTCGGCGGCTCCAACGAAATGCGCGGGGCTGCGGATCCCCAGCTACCAAATACAATCGTAGTGGAGGTGCTTGCGGTCTTACGAAGGCTTATTGCCAATTGGGAGATAACGGTGCCACCTCAAAAAGACGCCTTGTCTAAAATACTCTTCAAACCTCGCTGGGGCATGTCCGGTACCTTTCGCTGGTTAGGCACGCGAATCCTACACATTTGCTTTAGCGCAGAGGTCCGCACTTTCTATGGAGGTCTGGAGAAATGTTAGAAGTAGCTGGAGATGCAAGGCACTCACTGATGTTCTTCCGCGCGTCGCATGAGCCCGGTCTTCGCGCCACCTCGATCCAGAAGCCTTTGCCGGAGCCGACGCCGTTGGTATGGAAGTAGAAGGTCAGCTCGTCCGAATTCTTTGGGAAATCAACAATCTCTGCAAGCCAGGCAAACAAAGTAAGAACAGACAGAAAGCTTTCATGTCCATTTAACCACCTGCTGATATTGGGGGAAAAAAATCAGGCATCTGATTTTCGGAATTACGCTAACCGTAGTTCGAGTTTTTGGCGTTTTAAGAAAAGATCGAACAATAGGTAGCTGGTATTTTTTTTATTTGCTTTATATCTTTATATATCATTGACTATTGCGTGACGTAAATAAATTTGTACATATTTTCGTCTGCCAAACAGTTCGGGACATCAAAGATAGTAGATCTCGAAGAGGCCTACTACTATTACCGGTCTGGCCATTTCTGGCAGTAGAAAACTTAACTAATAATGTTAAGAGCCAAATTATTAAAAAAAAATATATGGTCGTAGGTCAGTCCAAATAAATACTTTAGGTATTATTGTAGTCATATGCATTTTTATTAAACGTCCTAAGCATGAAACGTTGAGCTATTGTCCACGAAATTTGCGAGCCTGTACCTCTCGACATATTTGAAACACATACGAAAAATATTAATGATATTCTCTTCATGCAAAATAAAACAAATATGAAGTGCTTGCACAATTCGGTGGCCCAGATATTAACACACAAACACAAGGTAAAGCATTAAAAAACTAAATATTTCTGACGCCAATAAAATATATAATTTTTTTTTTAATTCAACACAAATAATTTTTATTTTTATTTTGGGCGTTTATGACGTTGAAATATAATAAGTAATTTGACTTTTTTGTAAATAAAACCTTCTACCGAGCCCCTTTCTTGAGTATGCAGGAGGTGGTATTAACAAACTGAAAGCCATTTCGACTTTTATTTTTATCAAATTAATTTATACCATCAGATAGCTTATTATTACAGCTAGGTACTGCTACTTGATTAATGTCATTTCCTTGGACTGTTCTATGTTGGAAAAATTCAAATTAGAGGTAAAATTTCTCCAGGTAGCAAGTATATTATTTTATTTGAAATACCTACAACACCTAAAAATCACCGGCTTCCTCATGTAGCGTTCAATGGAACAGCACGAGTACAGAGCTGCTTTCTCAAAGTCGAAATCCCGGATTTCTGTACCGTGGACATCGCAGCAGTTTGTCCGTGAAGGCTGTGTACGGTATGGCCGCCCCCTTTGGCTGAAGTGCATAGAATACTTAGTTTGCAGTCACTGAATTGCTGAATCAGCAGGAATTTTTGTTTTAGATAAATTCATTAATTCCACATTTCGACAGTCACCTCCGCACCGCAGTGCGAGGGGGTGGTGATGATGTAGACCTGCTGAACGGCAAAATGCTGTCTTGTCCAAGGTACAACCGAGGTTTATGTCCTTAGCCCCCGCCTTTCTCTGGTCGGCCTGTTCCATTGAGCCCTACGTCACGGAGCTGTTCCTCTGCTGCTGCCTGGACAGGGATCCCCTAAATAAGACACAGTTCATGCGTCCTGTATATGTGTGGTGATCAGTCTGCAATGCTATTGCATGATGGTGGTCTGACCGTCTTTCATCTGTGAGATTACAATAGACAGCAATGATCAGCTTCAGCGAATTGTGCCGCACATTCTCCACACATCGTTATGAGAACCGTGTCCTTTTCACGTCGTTTCAACCGTGTCGTATAATCTTCACTCGAGACACACTACCTTTTTTTACGCCGTTAATGTTTTAAATTAGCTTGCCCAAGGGCTCCCAAGGGTGTTACGAAATCGCCATCATACTGCTGGTAAAAACATAATGCAGATATTTCCAGCCCATTAACGATATTTTTACGTGCAGAAGCAACAAGTTGAGCAGTGTATCAAATCCAGCTCTCAAATGCACAGAAACTGCCAATATAAACGGTGTAAATGAGGCATGACAAAGTAATCACGACTCTGTTGACTGCCTCTGGAAAACTCAAAAACAATCATTTTCAGGTATCCGCAATTACGGAGGTTATGGCTTTGTTTTCGTTATCAAAGTGTACATATAAATTGAATCGAAACTATCAACTGCCGCCTACTATTCACTCATTCATTTCATTCATTCATTTGTTTATTTTCTGTGCTCATGAACAGCTTGACGCCTTGGTAATGATGCAGAACAAAATGTTCACAGGTTAGTTACAAAAGTCATAAAACCTACGAAATTCGGTTTAAAAACATCGATATCTGCTCCCCTGAGGGTATTGTAGAAGTGTTGAATACGGGTCATGGGGCTGGTTCGGGTGATGTGATTAACATGAAAAGTCGGAGAAACCCGCAAAACTGGACTCGGAACGTGAATATTATTACCAAATGTGAGATCTGGGCAATCAATTAATCCATTAATGCATTTGTACAGGAAAACAAGATCGCGCTCACGCCGTCTGGAACTCAAAGTAGGCCAATTGCATCGTTCCAAGAGTCTTGCATAAGAATAATAAACAGTACAACCAATGTAACGATCGTAAACAATTCGAATAAAAAAACGCTTTTGAACCTTTTCAATTATCTCTTGGCTCGTAGAACTAATACAATTCCAGACTACGGAGGAAAACTCCAACTTGGTCTGGATTAACGACAAATATAACCGTAGAATACAGGTTGATGTGGAGATTTCACGCGTGATTCTAGAAATTACTCCCAGCTTACGCAAAGAGTCATTTATCAGGTTAACATGCACAGTAAAGTAATACGAAGAATCTATGTATACACCAAGATCACGCGTGCACTCGACTCTTCGAGGGGATCATTGCCAATCTGGCAACAAAAGTTTATTTTTTGTACCTTTTTACACAAAGACATAATAGCAGTTTTAGAAGGATTGAGCGTTCGTATGTTCTGACGACACCAATTGCACACAAGCCTAACATCCTCCATAAGTTTTTCTCTGTCTTTCAAGGATATGATCTGCCTAACCAACTTGACATCATCTAAATATTGCAAGATGACCGAATTGCGAACAATTGAGCTCAATTCATTAATGAAAACATTAAAAAAGATCGGCCCAAGTATCGAGCCTTGCGGCACACCCGAAGAAGAAACAAAGGCCGGGAGTGATGTCCAAGAACACGGACAAAATTGTGTCTATTAGACAAATAATCTAGAAACAGGGAACAAAGGGAGGTACTCACGCCGTAGGATTCTAGTTTGTGTACAAGGAGCGAATGGTCTACCAGATCAAAAGCCTTAGAAAGGTCAAAATATACAGCGTCTACCTGTCGACGTTGACACACAGCAGGTGAAACAAAATTTAAAAAAGACACCAGATTTGTCTCAACAGACCTTTTACGCATAACGCCGTGTTGTGAAGGCTTATCTTAAGGCTGAAATCCATGGGAAGAATATGCTGCGAATAACCGACAAATTTTTCCCGGCGGCTTTTGCTCTGCGCGTGGAATCAACACAGTGGCTGCTACGTCGCGCGCAAAGCGAGCGTGACGTCGGGCGGCGTTCGCCAGTTATTCGTCACGTAATTCGGTCCACGGAGTTCAGCCTTTACGCTTAAAAGAGTTTCAAATGCGCTCAAATAAAACAATTTCATAGATCTTAGCAGAGAGAGATAGCAACGACACAGGTCTGTAATTTTTTACATCATCCGTTCTGCCATTCTTATGTACTGGCACAGTAATAGAGTTCTTCCACAGCGAAGGAAATGTAAGGCTCTGCAACGACAACTTAAATATATGCGTTAAGACGGGCGCAAAAATAGAGGAGCATCCTTTAACAATGAAGCTCGGAATGCCGTCAAATGCAACTGATAATTAACTGCGGCTTCAGTTTCCTGATAGCAAGTTCAATATCAGTCATTTCAAAAGATAAAATTCACAGGTGATCACTGGCATTATCGCTGACGCCATGCACAGGCAGTCCAGTTTGGCCGCAAAAATAAACCGAAGAAAAATAACTCGCGAATGCATTTGATACATCTTCGGGCTCAGACAGCATATCACCCAACGAGTCAGCTATGTTTATTGATGACGAAGTTGTTGTTGTGCGATCCTTTACATATCGCCAGAAAAGCATTGGGTCACGATTTATGATACGTTATACTGACTCTCGATGTAATTTTTTATCGCGCTTCAGCAATGTCTTAGCTAGCGCACGCGACTCAGAAAATGTTAGATACCAAAAAGTGGAATTTGCAACCTTATATTTCCCATGACAATGCAATTTTTTTCTTAGAACTGATCTAAGCTCCTTGGAGTACCAGTGCGGATAACTATATCGTGCGTATAAACGAAGCTTTTCAAATATCCCTAGAAATAAGGTACTTGGGAAAAACAAGAACAACTCTTTACGGGAACAGACCGTCAACCAAACAAAAAAAAAACAAAAAAAAACCGTCAGAGATATAAAAAAAAACTGATTTGCTGAATGCTGAACTAATCATCATGTATTAACTTTTTAAGCAGTGATAATAAACGTAATAGATTAAAGTGTATAGTCGCTCGAGTATAATCTAAAGCCACTAAATAGAGTCATTTTCGAAAAATGTAAGGTATGTGCAGCATTGTACAGCCTCCCGAGAAAACACTCAAATTTCGGCGAGTCTATGTGTTTCGCATTTCTGTTGGTCTTTGCCCGTGAGCCACACAGTTCCTTCCATCGTACAAGCGAGGCGAGGCTTTGGCTGCTCGCCGCGGCACGTGGGGCCGCTGGCACAAATATGTATCCCGATAGGAAACTGAAACCTAGAATTAAAAAAAAACATAATAGCGCCGAAAACGCAGACAAGGACGAAGACGAAGTAAACGAACACGGGGCACGAAGAACCTAGAAACGCGTCCAAAGAGAGAGCTTTCCTGGAACGCTGTAAAATGCTCCATGTGCCTTACGTGTTCCTATACAGAATTTATATAGTAGTGTTCGATAATGATCAACTATAACGTTTCTAAAACCACATACAACCCCTTCTATAATGCCCTATGGGCCCTGGGCGTATTCAAATAAATAAATAAATTTATTCTCACTAGCTAAGCAGGTGCAGCAGTATTACGTGTCTCGTTCATAATAAAAATGAGTTATCATACTATTATT